GGAGGCCTTGGATAAGGTCAAGATCATTCAGGATAGGCTTCGTTCGGCTCAGTTGCGGCAAAAGAGTTATGCAGATCGTAAGGCTCGAGATGTAGCTTTCATGGGTTGTGAGCGGGTATTGCTCCGAGTGTCGCCTATGAAGGGCGTGATGAGATTTGGGAAGAAGGGCAAGCTTAGCCCTAGGTTCATTGGTCCACTTGAGATTCTCGACCGTGTGGGAGAGGTGGCTAATAGGCTTGCCTTGTCGCCTAGCTTGTCAGCCGTGCATCCAGTTTTTCATGTGTCCATGCTTCGGAGGTATCACGGCGATCCAGCCCACGTGTTAGATTTCAGCACTGTCCAGTTGGACAAGGATCTGTCTTATGAGTAGGAGCCGGTGGCTATTCTAGACCGGCAGGTTCGACAGTTGAGATCGAAGAGTTTTCCTTCAGTACGAGTTCAGTGGAGAGGTCAGCCCCCTGAGGCATCGACCTGGGAGTCCGAGTCTGATATGCGGAGCCGTTATCCTCATCTATTTCCCGACTCACGTACTTCTTTCTTTTGTCCGTTCGAGCACGAACGGTTGTTTTAGAGGTGGAGAATGTGACGACCCAAAGGGTCATCACCTGTTTTCTCATTCATTTCGTGCTTTCGATGCCTTGAAAAACCTCATTTTTAGTCACCTCGATTTGCGTGCGCAGTCCGGGCGCGTAGCCGGAAAGCTTAAATATAAATTCTGTGTGAAAAATGATGAATTTAGATATTAATATGATTAAAGTTGACTTTGGTCAATATTTTGGGTAAACGGACCCGGACCCGTGATTGGACGGTCCCGGGGGGTCCGTAGAATAAAATGAGACTCGGGCATATGCCCGGAGTCGAATTCCGAGGTCTAGAGCCTGAGAAATGAATTTTTCTGTGAAATTATTTTTCTGAAATTAATATGGAAATTTGAAAAGGGAATTGATTAGAACGTGTTGGTATCGGGCCCGTATTTTGGTTCCGGCGCCCGGTACAGGTATTATATGTGATTTAAGATATTTCTGTAAAGTTTGGTTGAAATCGGACGTCATTTGACGTGTTTCAGACTATAAGTTCTAAATTTGAAAGTTAATGAAGTTTGAGGAAAAGACTTGTGATTTTGAGGTTTGATTCGTTGTTTTGATGTTAATTTGGCGACTGGATCGCACGGTTAAGTTCGTAGGATGTTGTTGAGTTAGTGCATGTGTTTGGTTAGGAGCCCCGAGGGCTCGGGAGTGTTTCGGAGGTGTTCCGGGAGGTTTAAGAACTTAGAAAAGTTGCAAAAAAGTATGCAACAGGTGCCCAGTCATTTCCTTCTTCGCGATCGCACTCTCTCTCCCGCGTTCGCGAAGCATCAGAATTTTCCTTCATCGCGTTCGCGTACAATATCTCGCGTTCGCGTAAGCCAAATTTGGGACCCCAGTATTTTCCTCTTCGTGTTCGCATTCAACTGTTCGCGAACGCGTAGCCTTGCAACTTTCTTCATCGCGTTCGCGTGGGCCATCACGCGTTCGCATAGAACAAATCCTGGAACCCCCAGCTTTTCTCCTTCGCGTTCGCATCCTTCCAATCGCGTACGCGGTGACCTGCCCAGTTACCCTTTGCGAACGCGACCCTCTTCCCGCGAACGCGAAGGGCAAATTTCGTCTAGTTATATTTAATTCCCAAAACAATGTAGTCGCGGACCATTAACAAAAACACCCGAGTTCCATCTTCTCCAAGGTCCTTAGGCATCCATTGAAGCTCCCTTTCATCAAGACCACTTGGGTTAGTAAATTCCAACTTGTTTTCTTTTTTTTCTACCATTAATTATTCAATTCTTAAGCTCAAATCATGTAGTTTAGGGTGGAAATTGGGGGAAATGGGTAGAGTTAGGATTTTCTATATTGTCTTGATTTAGACCTCGTTTTGGGGTTAAATTTGAAAACAAATTGTATATTCGGGCTCGTGGGTGANTATTTTTAGGTTCCAATGACACCTATGAGAATAGTGCAAAAATAAAATTATCACTATGAGAATTGAGAAAATGTTAGTCTTTTTTCATGTAGTGTTTCTTAATTAATATCCGACGATTATCTATAATTATTTAAAAGGTTTAAATGTTAAGGTTATTTACATATAATTCAAATAACTCAGATATTTAACATGGTTAATGTCAAATATCAAAATGGAGTAAAACAATTCACTAGCTAAAGAATTTTTTATATTTTTAGATAGCCAACTAAAATGAGTTTTGAATTAAGAATAATATTTTCAATTACATTATTATAAAAATAATTATTATCGAAAAATAATGTTTTGGAAACTGAAATTTTAAGAAAGAAATATTTTTTAAGAGATATCAACACACCAAATAAGAGTTCAAGTAGTAGTAAAAGAGTTAAGTCTTATCCAAAGAGTCATTCATTGTCACAAAATTTGATTGTTTTGCCATAAATATGAGTTATTATTTTGCTTCCTGACTATTTTTAGGATCCATTGACACCGGCAAGAATGGTATCAAAAAAGAAAAATAGAAGAAATTGTTAATTTTTTTCATGTAGCTAATATCCAATGATTATTTATATTTACTGAGAAAGTGTCAATTTTAAGATTATTTACATACAATTCAAATAACTTAAATATTTGACATGATTAGTGTCCGCGTATCCGCGCGGGTACTAATACTAGTAGTTCTCTTAAATTCGTCAAGTACCTAGTTAACTGAGCGACACTTGTAAAACTTAAATTTGAAGGTCACGATTAAAATGATCTAACAAGCATTAGTTCGATAGATTTTATCTCCAACTTTGATAATAATACGATGGAGATTCCTGCAAAATAATAAAACCACGTTTCACGTTCTACATTTAAGTCTCCAGCTTTGGTAAGAAAATGGTTGGATTCCTATTTCCTGCCAAGTTAAATACAAAAACAATATAAAACCTTATTTCAAATTCTAAATTTCACTAATAATTTAAGTCAATTAGATAATATTTTGATTTAATTATCTTTAATAATATCTAGGCTTGCATCAAGCACAAAGGTGTCGTGGTGTAGTTGGTTATCACGTCAGTCTAACACACTGAAGGTCTCCGGTTCAAGTCCGGGCGACGCCATGTTTATCTTTTGTTGAGCTGCAACTTGAGGATTTCAAGGGTCCTCTTGTTGAGGTTGGCATCTTCAGAATCAGAAATGAAGCTTCTGCTTTATCTTGTCCTTGGCTGAACATTAACATGGACTCCAGCACAAGAACAAGATTTGTATTTGTCAAAAGGAATACTTTGCTAAAAATAACTTTCTAGAATTATTTTCAAGTGGATCTACAAAGATGGTAGTGTAGCTAGGGGTGTCAATGGATATTCGAAAACCGACTAAACTGACTGAACTGTAGAGTACTGAACCGATTTTTAGGTTTCTTTTAAAGAAACCATAGGTTTTTATATAAACCTATAACCGCACTGATAATTAGGGTAGTTTTTTAATTTTATGAAAATAAACCGAAAAAAATCGAACCGCACCGAATAAATTTTACATGTGAAAATATATTTATATAGTAGGTTTAAAAATAATAATGCATTAAACTTTTCTCTGGGCCTTGAAATTATGAATACTGTTACAAGACAAAAAGTAATTCAACTCAAAATACTAATTCCTAAAACCTATTATGCTACTTCTACTTAAACTAAGTTATTTCAAGTATCTTCATAAGCAAGACACAAAATATTCTAGCGATTATGAGTAGCAAACTATAATGTATTGAATATGTTTTCTTTCATATAATTTAGATTTATATTTTTGAATATTTAATCTTCTGTAGACTTTATTGTTGAATCCCAGCTTGGTTAATATCTTTTCACTCGTGTGATTAATATTTTCTTTGCCTTTGTTTGGTTTCCTTTATGTTGTTGTAGAATAGTTGATGGATCTACTCTAGCTATCTTTGATTTTTTTTTAATTCATCACCTTTTAAATAGTAGAAATGTCTAGAGAGTTTTGCTAAGTCCTATAAAAGAACATATATTATTACATTCTACTTCTACTAGTGAATTTTACATGATATTTAAAAAAATATCGAAAATTAACCGAACCGTACCGATACCGAAGAGAAACCGACATGATTGGGACGGTTTCGAATACTCTAATTGGTTATACATAATAGAATAACCGAAAAATTGATATTGTATAAATTTTATAAAATAATAGACCGAACCGAACCATTGACACCCCTATATGTAGCAGCTCTTAAGCATGTATAGGCAGTACGCGAAGCCATGAAATCCAATAAGGGTATTCAAAAACTTTGAACACCCTTTGCCAGTGGGCTATACAAGGGTGTTAAAAGTCTATTTTTAATCAATAACAAGTACTATATTTTACCTTATACTACGTAGTATAATTTTTTGGTGAAGGGTGATCAGTTGGACCAACATAGCTTCGCCCCTGTGTATAGGCCAGCGGTAAACTTCAGTTCTTGTGCAACCTTCACCTTTAGGCTGTAAGTACTATATTTACTAAAGAATAACTCTGGAGAAAAACAAAAATACAAGCTAAAGTTCACTAGCATTTACTGTCAAGCAACTCCATTTCGTGAGACAAAATTGTATAGCAGTTGCAATTAAGGAAATATCCTCTCTGATAAACCGAAGTTTCTGATAGATATAATCTTAACCAGCAAAATCCAAGGAAATATCAGTATTCAAATGTTTGAATTCTTGACAGCTGACTTGCATCAAGAAATTAAAGATAAACTAAGCAGCATGTAGAGAACGGTAGTACCAGAGCTCAAACATATAAAAAAGTCCATTGTCAATTGCAATTCCAACATGAAGTAATCATATGTACTGTAATCCCAAACCCCAAAAAAGAATATCACACAATTATGAAGTATTAAAAAAAATCTGAACTCTAGCAAGCGATTGCATTCAGTGGAAGTGTCTATATCCGTAATAAGCTGGTTCTACATTATGTTTAGCATGATCAGTGGGTTGTCAATGCCTGGATTTTCATCATTAGTTGGTTCATATATCTGCATTTAGATCAACATTATCTATTCCATCAGCCACTTGATCTGCACCGGCTTCTTGGTCATCATCATTTTGCTCATTATCTTCACCATGATCTTGTTCATTATCGCTTTCATCTTGATCATTCCCGCAAATAAGCTTTTCCCTGCCACATTAATTAACACCTTGCAAATCATATCACATATGGGTAAAGTTGCATTTCTCATATTAATTCATAAAAAACTTACAATCTCATCACGAATCTTCCTTCTCTATAATACATGGATGGTTCAGGGACTGCAATCTGGAGAAAGGATAAATTCCATATAAGCAAAATAAAAGAGCTGAAAATCCTCTTGATCTTGAAAATCAAATTCTCTTTAATATACTAGTATCTTACAAGTTTACACCCAAGCAGCTCTCCACATTGGACACAGTAAGCATCGGCTACGGTATTTCCATTTAGTTCTTGATGATATCTCTCGTCATCTGGAACTTCAACGTTAAACCTGCATATATACACATAATATAAAGGTATGTTACATACATCAGATCAGATTGCTGAAAAAAGTTTAGGCAAATAACAAATAACAAGCTGCTGAAATCATGAGACTTACACTTTATTAAAGATCCCTCTAGTCGAGTCTGGCACCTGCAAAATGTACAAGACAAACAGCTGTTGAAATTAAGCAATTGAATCTTACATATCCTCTTTATGAAATCAGTAGCAATTTCATCAAAGGTACAAAATAGTTTCCCTACAAGAATAGTTATGTGCAATTCAAGAAAATAATAATTCAAGATTGACCTAAATGTAGAGTTTAAAAGAAATAATGTCTGTAGCCCACAGAACCATTTGGTGTCATCACAACAAAATTGAATTGCAAGAAAAACTTAGAACATTCAACATGAAATACTACTAATGATAGATATATGCAAAAATGATGAGAATCCATACGTTAAGAATGCGATCCTCGAGGAATGCAACTCGAAGTCTGCAAATAATACACTGGAAGTATTCGAGAAATGGATCTTTATTGTATTCAACTAAAAAGAGTCTTCCCATTGTATCAGCTTTCTCAATCAAGAAGCAACTCCTAATAGATATATATATTTCAACTCGTGGACCTGTTACAGAACAAATTTACGTCAACAAAGAACAAAGTGGAAGAGAAATATCGAATTTATTCATGGAAAAAAGACTAGCTTTGAACCAGATAAAGAAGGAAACGGGAGAAAAGAGTTGGTGATCAATGAGAATTCAAGAAAGTGAAAATGGGTGGGATTTATAACGGAGTGGATGCCTAATATAATGGAAATGAGAAGCGAATGTAGACAAGTCAGTTCTTGATTCTTGAATCCAACTTCTGTTTAAACCGTTAATTCAGAGAGGAGGGAAATTTGAACCCAATTGAACAAATGTTCTACCTTTACTAGGGATAAATTTCCCTTTTTCTTTTATTCTTAAGAAGATTTTACTCTAAATTATACATTATTTTAAATTTCAACACTTGTCTTGCTGACATAATTTTACTTTGCCGCCTCTATGCACTGAACTTAAAGATGTGCTAAAGAATAAAATAACCACCGTGTTTCTTTTTTCCTTTTCTTCCTTTTTTTAAACTACCTAATGAGAAAGACATTACTCCCTGATGGGTTTATAGTACCTTAGCTTCATATTTTGATGATCTAACAAATTTACTGTCAAAGAACCAGATAAGGAACCTGATACACTTGGTACACAACTCAATCAACAGACTCAAGCTTATGTGAGTTGCTATGACTTCAGAAGATAAAGAATCAACACAAGGACCTGATCCCCTTGGGTTCGCCTGACAACAGTACGAAGTCAACTCTCTATAGCTGGAAAGTGACTGCCTGCACTGAACACGCAAACAGTGCAGCACAGTGCAACAATCACTTCTCATTGGGAAGGACCTTGTACCAACCAAGTGACTACATCATTCAAGTGATGTCATCCTAGTTGTATTAACAATAAACATTACAAAAAAACATCACTTGAACACTTGAGAATTCATTCAAGCATTTTAAGCATATGACAATCAAGCATTCAATTCTCAAGTGCATCAAGAACAAGGTACAACTCCACTACGGACCAATTCCTACAACAAGTCTCTTGTATATCCTTAGTTGAGTTGTAACTTTATAATTGTTATTCATTGTAATTCCTGCTTTGCTTATCTAGAAGCTTCAATTAGGAACCCATTGTAAACCATAAACCTTTAGTGTTTCTGTCGTGACTAGAGTTAGTCATGAGTTGAAGTCTTTGTAATAGGTGTATTGCAAAGTGGCTTGTAATAAGTGTATTACAAGTTAGTGAGGGATTAAGAGTTTAATTCCTAGGTTGCATAGGTTGTAATCTAAAGATTGCTCATACTGAAGTTGAAATCCTACCAGTGTAGGTCGTGGTTTTTTGATCCCCTTTAGCAGGGATTTTTCCACGAAAAAGTTCCCTATTCCATTTACTTACTGTTGAATCAGCCTTATCTATGGAAACCTATATAGGACCCGGTCTCTATATAGTTTGGTGGACTCATATATTCTATCAATTGGTGTCAGAGCGGGTTCTTTCTATCAAGTTAACACCTAGAAAGGATCCTCATGGCTGCTCCACCAAACTTCAAAGAGGGTCAGTCTACCTACAGACCATCCAGGTTCAATGGCCAATATTATGGGTGGTGGAAGACAAGGATGCATGACTTTATCTTGGCTGAAGATTCCGAGCTGTGGGATGTTATATGTGATGGTCCTTATGTCCCTAGAAAAAAGGTCAGAGATCCTACTGTGACAATGCCTAAGACAAGGAAAGAATACAACGATGCTGACAGGAAGGCTGTGGAGAAAAATTTTCCTACCAAGAAAATGTTGCTGTGTAGTATAGGTCCTGATGAATAGAACAGGATTTCAGCTTGCCAATCTACCAAAGAGATATGGGAAGCACAAACAGCACACGAAGGAACTACTCAAGTAAAGCAATCTTAGATTGACATGCTCACCGCTGAGTATGAGCTCTACAGAATGAAGGACGATGAATCCATTCAAGAGATGCACACTCGATTCACTTCCATAATAAATGAGCTACACTCACTTGGTGAAATCATTCCTAGGAACAAGCTTGTCAGGAAAATTCTTAGTGTTTTGCCCAGTTCCTGGGAGAGTAAAGTGAATGCCATTACTGAATCAAAGGATTTGCAGGCGCTGACTATAGATGAGCTGATAGGGAATCTGAAAACCTATAAAATGAAGAAGAAGAAGGACAGTGAAAAAAGAGAACCAAAGAAGGAAAAGAACCTGGTACTCAAGGCAGAAAGCAATGACTCAAGTGGCGAGGATAGTGACATGGCTTACTTAACCACAAGGTTTCAAAAAATGGTTCGAAGGAATGGAGGTATACCAAAGAGGGGTAGTCCCAGCAAGCCAAAGAATTATGACCTCTGTTATAAGTGTGGAAAGCCAGGGCATTTCATCAAAGATTGCCCTCTCCTGAAGCAAGAACACTTCAAACACAACTCTGGAAAAGCAGCCAAGAGGAACCCGGTTCCTGATAAACGCTTCAAAAGAAAGAACGTCACTGACAATGTTGTGAAGCAAGCTCTTGCAGCATGGGGAGATTCTTCCAGCGAGTTTGAAGAAGAAAATGATGCAGGTGACATCTCAATGATGGCAGTTGAAAGTGAAGCTAATGAGTATGACTCAATATTTGCTTTGATGGCTCAATCAGATGATGATGAAGACGATGATAATGATGAGGTAAATTTTCGGGATGTTCAAAGAAATCTGAAGTCCTACTCTCCTAAAAAACTCATGTCATTAGCTAATGTATTAGTTGATGCTTACCATAGTCTTGTAAATGATAAAGATGCCTTAACTATGGAGTTAGGAGATGCTGAGCAAACTAGAGATGACTTGATAGTTTGTGTGGTTGATTTGAAGGAAACTATAGATAATCTGGAAAATGAAAAGGAGGTTCTAACTGAGAAAATCACTAGTGTAGAACACGAAAGAGATGATCTGATGGTAGTAATAGTTGACCCAAAAGAAACCATTGAGAATTCCAGTAAAGAAAAAGATGCCTTAGTGGAGAAAGTGACTGTTATTGAGCAGGAAAGAGATGACCTCTTAGTGGTGATTGTAGACTTAAAGGAAACAATAGAGGAACTCAAAGCTGAATGTAGGCCTGGAAATTCTGAAAAAGGAAAAGAAGTGGCTAGTGAGGCACATATTAAACTTGAAAACGAGTTAAATGCTGTAAAAACTAGTTTGTGTGCTGAACTTTAGAAAAATAGACAACTTCAAGCAGAATTGGAAAGAGTAAAAAGTGATCTTGAGAAGTCTCTTAAGTGGACCTGGTCCTCGGATGCTATTACTGCCATGTACGTTATCAATGGTGGAAACATGTAGGGAATAGGGTTTCAAAGGGAGAGAACTCCTTATAACCCTCATAGCAAGTACGTCACTGCGCCTGATAATTGGCTGTGTACCCACTGTGGGAATAATGGGCATTTCAAAGAAAATTGCCAAGCCAGGGTTCAGTCTCTTCAGAAAAATAAAGTTTTTGCTGAAAGAGGACCAGGTGCCACCTATTAAAAGCGCATGTTACCTGCATGGACTAGAAGAGCACTTATTCATCCCATTGCTTATTACAAGGGACCCAAATTTAGGTTCCTAAATCTAACCCTTGATTTCCTTGTGCAGGGAACAATGAAAGGAAACAGTCAACAATGGTTCATTGACAGTGGATGCTCAAAGCACATGAGTGGGAATACTATGGACTTGCTTTCACTAAAAGCCCTGCAAGGAGGGGGAGTATCCTTTGGAAATGGCAAAAAGGGGTACATTCGCGGTGTTGGAAAAATTGGAAAATCACTCACTCACTCAATTGAGAATATGTACTATGTCAATAGTCTTAAGTACAGTGTCTTGAGTGTTTCTCAAATATGTGATAAAGGAAACAAGGTGAAGTTCTTGTCAAAGATATGCACAGTTACAAATCTAGTAACTGGTGAAGTGGTACTTGTGGCCAAAAGATACAAGAATATCTATGTTGCTGATTTCGAGTCCCTACAAAGTGGTGCTCTGAGCTACTTGAAAGCAGTTGATGATGATGCTGAACTGTGGCACAGAAGGCTGGGGCATGCAAGCTTCTCTTAACTGAATAAGCTAGTTCAGAAAGACCTGGTTCGTGGTCTGCCTAAGTCAAAGTTCAAAGAGCATAAAGTTTGTGATGCCTGCGCTAGAGGAAAGCGTGTGAAATCCTCATTCAAGCCAAAGAAGGATGTCAGCACCTCAAAACCACTTGATCTCCTTCATATGGATCTATGTGGTCCTATGAGAGTGCCAAGTAGGGGAGGAAAAAGATACATTTTTGTGATAGTGGATGACTATTCCAGATTCACTTGGACTCTGTTCCTTAGAACAAAAGACGAGACCTTTGAAGTTTTTGTAGCCTTTGTGAAGAAAATTCAAGTGATGATGGAATCAAAAGTAGCATGCAATCAGATCAAGGAACAGAATTTGACAATGGTAAGTTTGATGAATTCTGCAACGAGAATGGCATCACCCACAACTTCTCAGCCCCAAGAACTCCACAACAAAATGGAGTTGTGGAAAGGAAGAACAGAAACCTTGAAGAAATGGCAAGAACAATGCTGACCGATAGTGGGATTGCTAAGAACTTTCGGGCTGAAGCTATCAACACTGCCCGCTACTTGGTGAACAGGTGCATGATCAGGCCTTTCTTGAGCAAAACTCCCTATGAGTTTCTGAATGGAAGGAAGCCCAAGCTGACTCACTTAAGAACATTTGGGTGCAAATATTATGTTCTCAACAATGGAAAAGATCAACTTGGAAAATTTGATGCCAAGAGTGATGAAGGAATTTTTCTGGGGTACTCTTCTCAAAGTAAAGCCTACAAGGTATACAACAAGCAGACTTAGTGTGTTGAGGAGAGTATACACGTAATCTTTGACGAGTCCTATCTCTCCTGTGAGAAGAGCAAGAAGGATATGATGAGTTAAGTGAAGGAGACAGGTGAAGATAATGCAATCTCTTCCTCATCAGCCAGAGAGGAACCAATGCTACAATTACAACCACTGAAGCTGGAGAAAGAGTGGTCGATGCAGTTCAAAGTACTCCACAGGTAGCAGAAAGAAGGATACAAGGGAACCAGTCAGGCTTACCCAGCTCCTCTACAATGAAATTCAAGTGCCCAACTGGAAACACAAAAGCTCCCATCCTCTCGACAACATAATTACTCCTCTTTCAGGAGTCCAAACCATATCAAAAGCCAGAAATTCACTTGTCTTCTCAGCATTTCTCTCCCAAATAGAGCCCAAAAACATTAAGTAAGCCTTAAAAGATGCAGACTGGATCACAACCATGCAAGATGAGCTACATCAATTCAGAAGGAACAAAGTATGGTACCTGGTACCTAGACCCTCAGATCGGACCATCATAGGGACCCGGTGGGTATTCAGGAATAAGCTTGATGAACATGGAAACACTACAAGGAACAAGGCAAGGTTAGTGGTCCAAGGCTACATCAGGAGGAAGGAATTGATTATGATGAGACTTTTGCTCCGGTTGCTGGTATGGAAGCTATCAGAATCCTCATTGCCTTTGC